GTAAAACCAATTTCTTTACTGTTCCCTGAATACACCAGGGTCAGATTTACACTGTCTTCTCATTCCCTTCTAGGAAATGTACCCTTTAATTATTTCAAGTAAACTTGTTATTGGGATATAACATATACACAGAAAAGTGCACAAATCATAAATGTAGAGCTTGATGAATTTTCACAGTGAGTGTACCTGTGTCACTAGGGGCCAGACCAAGAAATAGAACAGTCTGAGCACCCCCTGTGCCCCCTCCCAGTCACTCCACCCAAAGATAGACACCGGCCTGTCTTCTCTCAGCTTTGATTAGCGGTGCCTGCTTTTTGAATGTTACCTGTTCATGTAATCTGTTGTGTCTGGCTTCTTTAGTTCCACAATATGGTAGAGTGAATTCATTCATGTTGTAGCGTGCAACTGTAGTGCGTTTATTTTCTTTGCTGTATAATGGTACCATCGTATGACTTATACCACAATGTATTTATTCATTTTGTTAATAGACACGTGAGTCTTTCCCTGTGTAGGGCCATTTTGAATAGTCTTACACGTCTTTTAGTGAATAAATTACCTCTTTCTGTTGGGAATATTCCTGGGAGTAGAATTGTGATGTCACCGATATCTACAGATGCATGTGTTCCGTTTTAGGAGATGCTGCAAAATGTTTTCCAAATTGTTGCACTAATTTACACTCTTACCAGCAGCACGTGAGAGTTCCAGGTGCTTCACACCCTGGTCCACACTTGTTGTAATTGGTGTTTTCATTGTAGCCATTCTGGTGGATTGGATGTGTGGTACCATTGCTTTGTGATTTTACTTTACATTTCCTTGACAGCAGTGTGGTTGAGCATCTTTGAGTCATTTTCCCATTTTCTCCCAGGTTGGTTTTTTTACACTTACATGTTTATAGGAGTTCTTTATATATTCTCTGTGGACACATGGATTGCAAATGCCTTCTCTCCTCTGTAGGTTGCCTTTCTACTCTTCTAATGGTCTCTTTTAATGAATGGAAGTTCCTAGTTTTAATGTAGTTCACTTTATCAATATACTTTTTCATGTTTTAATCCTATTTATATGACATTTAGTTCTATAAAACCTTAAAGAAAAATCGTTACCATCAAGTCTGACTCATAGCAACCTATGTTGCTGCATAGGGTTTCCAAGGCTCTAAATTTTTATGGAAGCAGATTGCCACATCTTTCTTCCATGGAGCAGCTGGTGGGTTTGAACCACTGACCTTTTGGTTAGCAGCTGAGTGCTTTTAACCACTGTGCCACCAAGGCTCCTTGTAAAACCCTAGGGTTAGAAGAAGCAGATACATAAAACACTAAACGTTAATAAAAGTTAGAATGCCTGGAAAATATGAATTAGAGGAGATTTAGACCAGGGAGAGAAGACATATAATTTTCTGTTATAATTAAGTAATACATTTTACTTAGAGCTTTTTAGAAGTCAAAGTTCAAAAGGTAACACGGTCTGTTATCTGTGAGTTATCTGAGACAGTGTTGTGAGAATCCATTCGGACACGTATGAAGGGACTGGGTATTCTGTGGGGTGCGTTCCTAGGTAATTCACATGTAATTTGCACATCAAAGGGCTAACGGGTATATCTTTATGTTACAGGTTATTCAACAATAGTTATGACCTCCCGGTTACGTGCGTTGGGTGGAAGAATTAATAATATACGCACCTCAGAATTACCCAAAGAGAAGACTCGATCCGAAGTTGTCTGCAGCGTCCGCTTTTTAGATGGCTTGGTACAGACCTTTAAAGTTAATGTAAGTTTCACAAGTTTTATTTTAACCAAATTGATGCTCCTAAGAAATAGTTTTTTTTTTTTATCTTTTGGGTGGTTTACAAAATGAAGAAAGACTACTGCAAGATGGTACCTTGGTCATTTCAGTTACCTCCTAGAGGCTTAAATGTTGAGATTGGATTGGAAATATCTTAAAACTTGGCTCACTTTCTTGACTCTAATTGGACCATCTTTCTCCGCTCTTCTTTGGGATGAAACTGGATAATCCTGAGACGTTACCTCTTCTGTGAGGTCATTGTCGACTTCCAGAATCACGTTAACTCCTCTGGTAGTGGTTCTCTGCATATGCCTTATTAGAGCCCGTGTCACACTGTATCACAGTTACAGTGCTTAGATGATTTGCCACTCATTGAACTGTGGGCTCATTGAAGACAAGAACGGTATCCTTTCCCTGGGCCTGGCCAAAGGCCAGGCACATAGCAGACACTCATTAAATGTAGAAGTGGGTGAATCCTGTCTGCACAGAGGGCAGAGCTCAGAGAGAAGCTACCTTTTTCCACCAGAGCCAGGGCTGGAAACCAGGCCTCCAGTCTCCCAGACCAGCAGTGAGATACTTGAACAGTAGCAGTGATTGGACAGGGTGGTAGTGTGGTAGTAGTAAAAAGAAACCAAGTCTGGAAATATTTTGAAGGTGGAGCCAATACGATTTGCTGATGGATAGGATTTGGGGTATGAAAGAAAGAGAGCCCCCAAGGTGACTGCAAGGTTTGTGACCTGGGCAACTGGCAAGATGGAGTTGCCATGAATAGGGTCAGGAGAGGCTGCAGGAGGAATAGGTTTTGGGACAGAAATTACCGTTTCTCTTTTGGACGTGTTAAGTTTGAAATGCCTATTGTTTACCTTAAGGAGCTCTGGTGGTGCTGTGGTTAAGGCTATTAATCAGAAGGTATGCAGTTTGAACCCCCCAGCCACTCCATGGGAAAAAGATGAGGCAATCTACTTCTGTAAAGATTTACAGCCTTGGAAACCTGATTGAGGTCACTATGAGTGGGAATGGACTTGATGGCAGTGGGCTTTATTATTTATCTTGGAGTCTTTGGCTGGTGCAAACAGGTAACGAGCTCAGCTACTGACTTCATGAAGGGTTGGCTGTTCAGATCTACATAGAGGCACCTTGGAAGAAAGGTCTGATGATCCACTTCCAAAAAATCAGCCATTGGAGACTCTGTGGAGCACAGTTCTACTCTGACACACACGGGCTTCCAGTGAGTCAACATCAGCTTGATAGCAGCTGGTGTTTGTATTTACTCATCTGAGTGGAAGTGCTGGAAATGCAGACGTAGGTAGATGCACAGGTCAGGAGTTCCAGGGACGAGTGCAGGCTGGAGATGCAAACGTGAACAGCACCAGGTTAGACAGGCTACTTCCAGCCGTGAAACTGGATGAGATCACCTGAAAAGTATGTATGGACAAAAGATACGGGGTTCAGTATTCGAAGGCTGGAGAGATGAGGAGCAAGCACTAACGGAGAGTCAGAAGGACAAGCCGGTGAGGTGTAGGAGACCAAGAAAGGACGTCTGGGAAACCAAGGTAGGAATGTGTTTCGAGGAGGGGGAGGATTAGCTCTGTAAAAAGGGCTAAGGAAAGTTTGTACCCTGAGTGATACTCATACTAAGCCCTCAGGATATGCACTGCGTGTGGTGAGCTCCAGTCATTCTCAGTTACGGACCTTGTTGCTGTCATACTGTTACCAGTACTGTTCCCACAAGCTTCTGGGCAGTCTGGGCCTAAGTTGACTCACATTGGATTTGAACAATTGCACGTCTGATGACAGCTTAGCATCTCCATCTCTTTATCTTTTTCTGCCTGTGGGGCTTTTCTGCACTGTCTCATGCACACTCTTTGGCCCAGACCATCTTAGGATGACGAACAACATCAGGACACAGTTGTTGGGTGCCCCAGCCCAAGGACCAGGCCTGTTGCTGGTAATGACCAGCTGGTATCTGCAAAGATGACCTCTTGTGCCGTGGGGACAGGGCTAGAAGGCCACCTCAGTATAAATGTGTCTTTTATTATATTGTATTTCATTTTTTTAAAAAAAATTGTGATTTGAGTGAAAGTTTACAGAGCAAATTCACTTTCCATATGGCAGCTCACATACACTTTGTCTCATGACATTGACTATCAATTTCTTTTTTAAAACATTTACTGGGTTGTTGAAAATGTGCATGGAAAACATATACCAGTTCAACAATTTCCACATGTACAATTCACTGCTGTTGATTACTCATCAAGTTGTGTAACCATTCTCACTCTCTTTTTCCAGGTTGTTCCTCCACCATTAACATGGACTCACTGCCACCTCAGTTTCTTATCTAAACTTTGGAGTTGCTGTTGTCAATTTGATTCCAAATAGATAATTCTTAAGTACAGTGCTCAAGGCAGACTTACTTTACTAATTAAGCTTAACTGTTGTTTAAAGAAGACTTCAGGGTACATTAAAGAAGACTTCAGGGTACATTTTTGGTTTGAGATTTAAAGATTCTCTGAGGACAATAGCTTTGGGGGTTCATCCAGCCTTTAAGGCTTCAGAAAAGCTGGATTCCTTTAGAATTGCATTTCAGTCCCCCACAGCCGTATGTTCAATGAATAAGCTTAGAGAAAGTTGAAAATCACATCCCAAAACAAAACAAAATCCACTGCCATTGAGTTGATTCTGACTCAAAGCAACCCACATTGGGTTTCCAAGGTTAAATCTTTATGGACGTAGAATGCCCAGTCTTGCTTCTGTGGAGTGGCTGGTGGGCTTGAACCACCCACCTTCTGATAGCAGTCAGATGCCTTAGGCACTGTGCTACCAGAGCTCCTTGAAAATCACATACAAATAATAATTGCAACAAAGGGAGCAGACAGCTCTTTGAAGCATCAAGAGACCGTCTCATAATTGGGGGCACGTGGTAGAGTCTGGCCTGGATCATTCCACACTCATCAGGTCTCTCTTTGTGATGGGACGTGTCCCGGGCAGAGGAGGCAGCAGGTGCTGGAGCCCTCAGGAAGGAAAGAGGGCGTGTGCAGGAAGTGGGCACTTTTCATGTCCCCATGCTTCAAATAGTACTAAGGCTGCCCCAAAGAAATGGCTGTGCAGGAGGGGGGCTGACAGTTACCTAATTGTCCTCGTTCCTCACTGTGACCTACTTTCAGGTACATTATCAGCTCGCAGACTCAGGGAAAAACTACCTTTTCTTGTTCATACATGATCTATTTCTGACTCATAGTTGTCCTTAAGTTAAAGGGATGGGTTCAAAGGGTTCCCGAGAAGTCTGCTTGTGAAAGTCGAATTTGCAGTTCCCCAAATGAGCCGTGTGGCTTCCCACCCCTGTGCCTTAGTGCGCGGGGGCCCTCTGCCTGAAGTGCCTGTTAGCTTGTGCACCTGGAGAGGCAGGGCAGCACTCGGCCCTGCCCATCTCCCGGACCCAGGTCAGGGGTTGCTTCCCTTTTTCCTGGGAGGAGTTGACCCTTGGTGTTGTCCCCTTGTGTGGTGACTGGGTCTTGTGTGCTTCGAGGCATTCACCGCACTGTGTTAGAGTCTCAACTTCCATGGCCAGCCTCTCGGGGAGGACAGGAAAGGGTGATACATTGTGGCTCGGTCCCCATACCTGCCCCATGCCTGCTTCCTCCACACTGAATGGTGAAGACCTGAGTCTTGATCTGCAGGTGGCTTTGCACATCAGATGTGAGTGAGGTGGAGAATCCCACAGGGGGACTGGCTCATGCCAAATCACTCTGAGGGTACTTGGGATGGCATTAGGGTAGTTCTAGCCGTCTTCATTCATGCTGTTAGCAGAGTTTTCCCTCCCTGGGCACACTTCCGTGCCTCCTTCAGATGAAGGAGAGCCCAACCTGGGATTAGCATTTTGCTTTAGAAGATCCATGAGTAGATCACAGAGAGTTTACTATAGTTCAGATAGATGAGTTTTCCTATTTAGAGATCAGCTAAAGGGAAGGGAGAAATCTTAGAAAATTGGTAAAGCTCTAAACGTCTTCAGCCATATCTGGATCACTTTTCTTAGCCTCATTCCCATGTGTATTATGTCACTTCTTGAAATTTATTGAAGATTTTCTTACTGTGGAAAACATGTATGCATAAAAATCTCTCTATCCTGACTCGTTTTGCCTACAATAAAGACTTTTTCTCCACTAGTTCTTAATTAATTTTAATAGGCTTTGCTTACTTGGTGTTTTTGTTTTGTTTTTCCAGAAACAAGATACCGGTCAAGTTCTTTTGGATATGGTGTACAACCACCTGGGTGTAACAGAAAAGGAGTATTTTGGTTTGCAACATGGCGACGACTCAGCAGACTCTGCTGTAAGTGCCATCTTGTTCAGATGTGCGGGACTCCTGCGGGGCTCGGTTTTACATCTTGTGTTTTCTTACTCAACAGAGATGGCTTGAGTCAAGCAAACCTATCAGGAAACAATTAAAAGGTTGGTATGATCTTTTCAATTCCATTACCACTAGTTGTTAGTGTATCATGGCCTCTTTCTCTCCTCTCATCATCAGCTTGTCTAGAACACCTGGTACCTGCCTCCAGGTGGTGCAGGAAACGTGAGTGCACTAACTTTTCTAGTCTGACTTCTGAGTTAGCAGAGATGGCTCCAGATCAGCCCGCAAGGGTCCTTATCAGCTGTGGGCAAGAAAGGGAAAGGGGAGAGTAGACGGGTGAGAGTAGGGGAGCGCAGATTAATTTTTACAGCAGAGGAGGGGGAAGGAGGATAGCCTTTTCCAGTCCAAAAAGAGAGCCAGGGTGGGAAAAAGGTACACACACACATACACATGTACGTTTTTCTCCCAAGTGCTTTTCAACAACACAGTTGCATTCACTGGAAACCAAGCCATGGGTAGATAGTGTCATAAATATACGGTCTGTTCTCCTTATTGTTTTCTGTAGTAGTTCTATAAAGTTGCCACAAACACTGAATTAGCAAATACTGAACGTTTGCTCCTAGGGGAAGCACAGAGTTAGATTCCTGCAAGCCTCTGGTCACAACATAATTCATCAATTAATCAACATGAAATCTTGTTTTATGTGTGTTTCTGTTTAAAATGCCTTATTTCACGTGTGTTGTTGGTTCATTACTGTTGAACTCGCAGCCAGCAGCACTGTATAAACTCATGCTGAAACAAAGCCTTCTCCCACACCGCTGCTTCCTCCGTCAGGCACGTTACAGCCTTCTTACACTGGGAACACAGACAGCACGCCATCATTTTAAACAGTGAAATCACCAGCAAAACACAGAAATGCAGAAAGTGCCACATTAAGTAGACCACTGAGAGGATACTTGTTTACAGTACGAGAACTGGAACAAGAAGGCAGAACATCACCTTGTTTGACCTCAGTTGGGGACATGCATGTCAAGCAACTCAGATTTTTTGCCACTTCGCTTATGTCCACAGATGACCTCAAAACTGCGTGACTGTTGATTTGGGGGTTACAAATAAATGTTAGTGAATAGCTGAATTCTCAAATACAAACTTCATGAATAATGAGAATCAACTGTAAAAGATTAATCTTAAAATACAGCTCATCAGCCACTAGTGGATCCCCAGCACTGCCGGTTAGCTCCAGTTAGGTGAGCGTTTAAGCCTTACTCCACCCTCCACCCTGACCTGATCACAGCCTGGTTTTCTGTCATGGGCTTCATTGTGTCCCTTCATTCACCTTATGCCCCAGACAAATCGGGCTCATCTGTACGGCTGTACACACTCCTCCATGCCTCTGTTCAGCCTGTTCCTTTGTTTGGAATGCTTTTCCCTCTCCTATCCCTATATTCAGAGGAGCCCTGGTAGCACAGTGGTTAGGTGCTTGACTGCGAACCAAAAGGTCAGTGGTTCAAAACTAACAGCTGCTCCATGAGAGGAAAATGTGTCACTCTGCTCCCATAAAGATGATAGCCTTGGAAACCCTCAGGGCAGTTCTGCTCTGACCTGTAGGTCCCTATGAGTTGGAATTGCCTTTACAGCAATGGGTTTGATTTTTTGTTTGTTTTCCCTCTATCTGAATCTTGCTATCCATCAGGGTTGCTCTCATCCCCTCTCCTCTCCTGCTGGAAATCCTGACTCTTAAGTTTATCACTCTCGACTTTGTGGCTCTGAACACTTGGCCTTGTCTCATAGTTACTGCTTTTATCTCCCCCAGGTTCCTGGCAGTTAGGGCCCTTGCTACACTCCTCTCTGGATCCCTTGCAGTACCCAACACACATGAGGTAGCTGGTGGATGATTGAGGAATGAGTGGCAGGTAGATTTGTATATACATTCAGGTTTACCTTCACACAGTGCTGTATCCCCTCACCTGCCCCAGCCCCCAGATGGGAAGGAGTGGAGGCAAATAGTCACTGCTTTGATCCTGGAAAGGAGCTCTGGTGGCATAGTGCCTAAGGCATTTGACTGCTAACCAGAAGGCTGGCAGTTCAAACCCACCAGCCAGTCTGCAGAAGGAAGACTGGGCAGCTGCCTTAGAAACCCAAAAAGGGTCAGTATGAGTCAGAATCATTCAATGGCATTGAGTTTGATTTTTTTGGTTTTGGTTTGATCCTGGGAGTGACATCTCTTCTTTCTTTTTCTCTCTCTCCCACTGCTGTATCACCTGCAGGGAGGTCCTCCGAGTTCCTAACTTCTCACAAGTAGATGTGTCCTTAAGCACTCAGACATACCCCCAGGGAGCTGTAGAGCCATTGTGGAGACACACACCTGCGCCCATGTGATTCACAGAGGCATGGATGCACACCAGGCATGACAAGTGTTAGCATTCATTCTCTCGTCACTCACTCACTCACTCACTCACTCACTCACTCGTTCAGCAAACACCTGCTCAGAGTCTGGCAGGGTCCAGGGCTCAGGTCTAGAAATCCAGGAGCTCATAGCCAGGTGTGGAGACACACACATAAGGAGAGAGACAGGTCTCTGACAGAACTAAGCACAGGATAGGATCCTCTGCTGCACAGGGAAGGACAAGAAGAGCTTCACGGAAGAGACCGTGCTGAGACACGAAAATGACAAGTCATGGAAAGGGGAGGGGATGATGAGAGGTCATCCCAAAGCTGGGGGGTGCTTAGCTGTCCCTTGATGTTCAGGAGGTCATCCACCAACACCCAGCTCCCCCACCAAGACCCAGACACACATACAGAGGTCTGGCCTACCTGGAGCACAGCCAGAGATAAGGGTGAGAGTTACTAAAGAGATAAGAGAGGGGAGCCCCGGGATGAACTAGGGCAGAGGAGGAGACAAGTAGCAGGGGTGATCGTTGTGAAGAGCAGGGTGATAGAGGACTGAGTTTCGGAAAGCAAGAAAATGCTAAGCACATGGCCTACCAATGAATGTCCGCCGAGTGCTGATGAGAGATGAAACTGATGTGAAGAAGAACCCAGGATCTTAACCACACAATCTGATTTTCACCTGTTGCCGTATCTAGCAAAAGAAATGAACTAATTGTATCTATTCAAGTGAATTGACTCTTGGTATTGATGCATAAAGCCATGTTTGAGTACGTTGATTGTGTAATACTCCCTGGTATATTAATTGTTTTGGGGGATTGTATTAGAAGCATGAAAAATGATTTTGAAATGTATCATAGCAGAATCAGACCCCTTAGTGTACTGCAGTTCTGGTTTCGTCATTAGCCATGTGGCCTAAAGCGAGTCACTTATATCTGTAAACCTGTTTGTTTGCTCATGTGTAAAACAGTGCTATGAACAGCAGCCCAGCCTACTCCTAGAGTCCTGGCAGGGTATAAATTCAAGAACATACATGCAAATGTCTGAAAAGTAATTTTCTATGATATGCTGATTTAAAGGCGCTCTAGTGGTGTAGCAGTTATGACATTTGGCTGCTATTTAAGGCTGCTGATTTAAGGGGTTTTTTGTTTTGTTTTTCCTCAGTTCCTAATACAGATAAGGTGTGCATTGTCTGAACACAGCTGTATGTTGAACGTGTAATAGTTGACGTTGTGTAAATATTTTACTTTTCGTAGACTTGGAGATGTCTGGAATAATCAATTCACTTATGCACGCCTTATTTGCAATTAGTCCTTTTATGCTGGAAAAAAGCTATGGGCTAGTGAAAAATGCATCTCTTATGGGAGAGTGACAACTTACATACTTTTATTTTTTTAAAGGGAAAATTTAATTTGTTTTTGAAAAATGTTATAGGAGGTTTCCCCTGTACCCTGCATTTTCGAGTAAGATTTTTTATACCTGATCCCAACACACTGCAGCAAGAACAAACCAGGTAATAACATTTTTTTTTAAGATTTCTATTTAGTGTATAAAAATGAGTAACCACTAAACATGTACTCTTCATTTTGTAACTATGGCCAAATACATTCGGGTATAACTGCAGCAACAATTATGATCTGAGTGGAAATTGTAGGCATGTTGGAATTTTAATCGGCTGATTGTTTTCAGTCTTGGGCCTACTTCTCACCTCCTGATCGGGTACAGCATCTCCCACCTCTCCCTCCTCTGTCTCCTTCCATCTACCTGGCCCTCTCCCACCCAGGCTGCAGTCATCCCCCCCATAGGAGCAGGGATTGGAGGGTGAGTTTGTAGAGGAGTCAATCACGGGTCAAATAGCAGTCTCTCTGAAGGGCTACAAGTGAGGCTGTTCAGGGTAACAAGACGTCTCCACTAAAGGATGTTCTGTTAGATCCCCACTTTGTAGGAACTGGAAAGGAACCAAAGGAGCTGGGGCCAGCTCCTCTCCCTGGTGAGTCAGCAGGTGGCAGGAAACCAGGTGAAGCAGATAAGGGGCTGGGATAAGAGCTGTTTACCCCCGAGGGCCTGGAGCCTGGCCTGGCCCTGTTTTGGACTGGCTGGTGGGTTTTCTGGGTGGAGGACAGTGTTTGGAATCGAGGAGGAGGAGGACCCAGGGAAGTTGGTGCTGTTTCATTGCAGGTCTCGCAGACTCCACTGTGTCTGCTTTCTCTCCCCCTTGGCAGTGTTAAACCCTTTGTTACTGATCCATTTACTTTTCTTAGAGACAGAAACAATCTCACAGGAAAAAAGCCATGATGTTCAGGATTATTGAATCCTCTTATATGCTTGCTGTGCTGTAAACCCATTACCAAGGAGGCAATATGAACTCAGATGGAGAGAGTACTGGCTTGGTTTTCTTTCTTTCTTTTTTCTTTTTTTTTTTTTTTTTTTAAATGATAACCCTGTGATCACATTTTAATATGTTTAAAAGCCAAATGTTAGTTGATTACTCTGTTTTGGCCTCTGTGTGTACCCTTTTCCTCTAAAATAGCAGACACTGGAGATTTGACTATGTTTACCATCATGTTAAATTTTAAGCCAGCAGAAGAAATGTCTTCCGTGACTCAGTGGGAAACCATGTGGGAGACTATACTCCACTTTTAGTTTTTGCTACAAGAGCTTTTTTTATTAAAAAAAAAAAGCAACGTTGGTGGACTGAGGGGGTGGTACAGGGATGCTCAGCACATTAGGTCACTTTCTGTGCTGATGGACACAAAGCTGGCATCACCTATGAGACGTGATCAACATGGCCCTGCCGAGGTTTCTCCAGGGCGTTACTAAAGACCAAGCTCTGCTCATGGCACGCTTCAACAGTGGTGTGGTAGAGTGTGTGTGTGTGTATGTGTGTGTGTACGTGTGTACCAACCCAAACTTGTTGCCACGGAGTCAATTCCAACTCATAGCAACCCTGCAGGACACAGCAGAACTGGCCCGTATGGTTTCCGAGGCTGTACATGTTAACAAAAGCAGATCGCCTCATCTGTCTTCTGTGGAGTGGATGGTGGGGTCCAGCTGCTGACTTTTCATTAGCAGCTGAGTGCTTAACCACTGTGCCACTACATAGGTGGATTGCCTGATTGTGGGTATATGTGCACAGTAGCCCTGGTAGCATAGTGGTTAAGTGCTCTACTGCTAACCAGAAGGTCAGTGGTTGGAACCTACCAGCTGCTTCATGGGAGAAAGAGGAGGCAGTCTGCTTCCATAAAGATTTAGAGCCATGGAAACCCCATGGGGCAGTTTGTTCTGTCCTTTAGGTTCACTGTGAGTTGGAATTGACTCCATGACAGTGGGTTTGGTTTTTGGTTTATTTACATATATATTGTTGTTGTTGTTGTTATTTGCCATTGAGTTGGACCCGACTCATAGAAGTATGTATTTATATACATAGAAACAGATATGTTTATGTGTATATACATGTATATACATACATACACACCCATGTGTATAGTAGTATGTGTAGTCTTAACCAGTGGATTGTTTATTTGTTTTTTTAAATTACAACCCAGCAGTAAAAAATGTATTTTGCTTCATAACTCCGTACACAGATATAAATTACTAAAACAAAAGTTTGCTAAAACAACCGTAAGTGCCAAACACTCTGAAGTTTTCTGGTTTTGAATGCCTGTTGTGGCCTGTGGATTTGATTTTACTGCCATCTAATGGATTCCAATCCCAAGTATGAGATGCACTGCCTAAGCCAGCAGTTGTCACACGTCACCCTGTCTCCTCCCTATTTGCTAGAGGCACGGTTTTGGGACATCCAGTGGGCCACAGAAGGTATATTAGACTCTGCAGTGAAAGAACTCAAGGAAAAAGATTGCTGGGGTGACCTCACTTAGGAGTCTGCCTCCCGTACCCACCTTGGCCATTGGCCATCTGCTTCCGTATCTCATGGGAAGGACGCTCACTCCTTCCTAGAGGCGACTCGGATCTTCTGCTGCGCTTCCTTGTCATTTGAGGGATAATTGAGGAAATACAGGTATTCAGGGTGGAGAAAAGACTCAGGAGAAACAGATGCTGCCTTCAGACATGCAAAGTGTAGTCTCAGAGTCAGACACACTTGGAAGTAGAACTATGGCCAGTGGGCAGAGGATTGAGAGAGGCAGACTTTGGCTCAAAAGGAGGAAGAATTTCTGGTAGAGTTCTTACTCAGTCCCAGATAAAATTCAGTTAGTCCCTATCCCTCCTAAAATGTACTGATTCCAAAATGACACCCCTAAACCCCAGCACTAACAGGAGTGGTATCCTCAGTGAGGTATACAACTGTTACTCCCTAGGGTTGAGTACCAGGCTTCTCTTAATGCAGCTGAAGCCATGACAGTCTCCATCTAAACGGCTTCTACAGAGCTGGTGGGCCACCAAGACTGCCAGGTTTTTATTCTTAGGCTGGGTCGAGCCTCTACCACCAAGTCACACGTGTCTCTGTAACTTAAAGGGTTTTGACCTGTACTCCTGGCCCAGACTGTCACACTAAGCCCCAGCTTTGTAGCCAGCCCCAAAGTGAGATCTTTTTGGCTGGAATTTAGCTCTCGAGAGTCAGAGGAGGAGTGCAAAGGCGCGGTGTTCTGTTGCCGGCTTTGTTTCTTTTTTAAGGATCTAGACAGGGAGACATTTGTTGCTTTTTTCTGCAGTTAAGGTCGCGGATAGAGGGCACACTCTCAGAGTGATCTTTACATTTCTGAAGTGAGGTTTGCCAAGTGTGTCTTCCAAATAGCTCTCCTTTATTCGGATTGTTAAATAAATGTCTTCTCACTTCATTGTGAGCCTCCACAACTGCTGTTTCTGATGAATTTAGACCACTCCAAACAGTTAGCGTTTCATTTAGCTGATGAAATTGTCTCAGATGAAAGTTAGACTTCTTAGCAATTCCTAGGAAGTCCCCTACATTTGGGTCACATTCCACCATTCCGATGTCTTTGGGTGAGACCTGGTACACAGCAGGGCAGGTAGCATTTGGCACACAGTGAGCCCCAGGGCCACGTCCTCATTTATATCTCTAGGAAGATGCACTGCTTATCCAGGCTCGACGGTGAAGCCCAGGCTTACCATCGGGCTATCTGTAACTCTCCCCCTCCCCTTCTCCTCTCAGCGACACTGTAGGAGGAAAGGATTGTTAATTCTGGTTGAATGTCAAGGTGGATAACATAAAAACAAACTAGGAAGGATTCAGTATGTTTTTCTAAGTGGAGAAGAAGATAGATTGTTACTGAACAGGTGTGAATCAGCAAAGTACATGTAACACTCTTCTCTTAATGCTAACTATTAACACAGTGTAGGTAGTCTATGTTAATTATATCAAAGTCATAATATCAGAGTTATGAAATTGATCCTAAACTTTTTAATCATTAAAGAGCTCTGGTACCACAGTGCCTAAGGCATCTGACTGCTAACCAGAAGGTTGGCAGTTCAAACCCACCAGCCACTCCATGGAAGGAAGACAGGGCAGTCTACTTCCATGAAGATTTACTGCCTCGGAAACCCAATGGGGGTTGCTATGAGTCGGAATCAACTCGACGGCAGTGGGTTTTTTGGTTTGGTTTTTTAGTTATTAAATGTGCAAGAAATTTGTAGCATAGTCAGATTTTATCATAGCATGAGTGTCCAGGTTAAAACAAGGCACAGCCGACCCCACACAACCTACCCAAGCTTCACATCCTCGTCTGTAAAGCAGCGATGGTGACATCTCCCTTGCAGGGTTTATGAGGCTGAAACAAACTGGTACGTTAGAAAGTACCATGCACACTGTCCAGAAGTGTCTAAGTGGGAGGGGGAAATACCATTTGAAGCGTTCTTGTTGCAAAAAGCCAGCACCTTGATCTTTAAATGTATAAATTTGAAGAAATAATGTAATTAATTGTTTAAATTGCCAAACTTCTCTCTTTCCTCCCCTGAGCACTCCTGGCAGGTCTGTATTGTGTTTCAGGGGGTTTCCCTTGTTTCACCTTGGCCAGACACTGGGATGTCTAGCTCCTTTGAATCTGGGTTTTTAAAAAGGAGTGTCACATGCATGTCGTATCTCTAAATATAAATCACTCCAGGGCACGCCTGGCCACCAGCATACTGCCGTCAGCCTTCTCATCCCCTTGCTGACAGAGGAGCAAACCTACATGCTGAGGGGCTTGTGCCCACTTGCTGCCCACAGAACAAGCCCTGGTTTTGAAGTTGTATCCGCTGGCAGTTCCCAGAGGAGTGCAGGACTCAGCTTGGAAGCCCTGGCAGCATTTTAGTTTACTGATGTTTATGCTTTTAATTGAGCACCCACAGTTCCTGGGACACAGGAAAAAACCCAGCTGGGTGCTTGCACCCCCGCCAAGGAGATGTCTTTGCAGACCCTCCTCCTCTTAGCAACTTCACGCAGAGGACTGTGGGTGCGCGAATGCCAGCATGTGATTCCCAGCAGGACCTCGGCAACGTGCGGGGGCCGCCCCTGCAGAAGGCATGTGGGTCCTGGTGCTCACGGTTCCAAGTTTGATTAGGAGGCTCAGGCCAAGGGTGGGCAGCTCCCTGGCGGCGGCAGCAGCAGCCCGTGGTTGGTGGGTTACTTCCACCCTCTCCCAGAGTTCAGCCGTCCCCATGAAAGTATGTGCTGGGCTGAGGCTGGCTGGAAATTGGTTCCTCGCCCCCCATTTGAGACTTGAGGCAACAACACAAGTCATCGCTACAGAAGGGTGGCTGTGCATTGTGCCAGAGAGGGCCCAGTGCTGCAGACAAGCATTCATTTCTGTGTATTTGACTTTTCAAATGTGCAGGATTTGTCCTTATCGAATTGTGTTTGCTTCTTTCTGTGTGAATATGAATTAATGAAAATTATTGTTTTGTAGGCATTTGTATTTCTTGCAACTGAAGATGGATATTTGTGAAGGAAGGTAATGAGAATTTTGAATTTTTTTTTCCTGTTGGTTCCAGGCCAGCATATTTCCAGTTTCAATCAATTGAGCATGCGTTTCTGGTAACAATACTGAATCTGCAGAGAATGGATGTTGAAAGCAGCATCCTGTAAGGTATTAGGCTTTGGACATGTTTTTAATTCAACTTGGTTTACAGAGGCTAAGGATTGATAAAGTTCATTTCAAGTGTTTTCAGTTTTATTACCAAAAGTGCAGTTATCTTTCTGGTAAAGACCTGAGAAATTGTATAGGGAGGGAGGGATGGACGACTTCATTCAGGAAGGCAGCTCAAGCCTAATTGAGGTCCGTTTCCAAGCCCCTTAGCACCTATGAATGATGCATTTTCTCTCTGGGAAGCTTTTTGGTCAAAGATGTGAGCACCTGCTTATCATTCATCCCTTGTGTCAGGGCCATCTCAGTGGCTGGACGGTTTCCAGGAACAGCCCAGTGGGGGGCGGGAAATGCCAAACCAGTGGTACTGGAGCTCCCTTCTTTAAACTCTTTATTTTTTCTTGACACATGGAGAAAAACTTCAGTGGGTAAACTGGTGGAAACAGCCACAACTTAATCCCATTGTCCTGGTCCTTCTTTGCTTCTGTCAGTTTGCTTCGACCAAGGAGGCTGTTAGGAGGCCTCCTGTCTGCTGTGCCAAGAGCGGGTTTGCACTTTAGTTGGGGAAGTAAGACAAGGCCCACAAGTAGTTAGGAAACAATTAAAATCAACACCGGCAGCGGAGACCACAGTTGCTACAAGATATTAGAGGACCCTACTAATAATAATGCCAGTGTGGGCTGGGACATTTGGAAAAGTCTTCTTAGCGTTGTGATGAGTCAGAATCTGGGTTAGTAGGGAGGAGGAGAGGAGCGAGGATTCCCTGGGCAGTGATAAGAACCGCCCCGAGCCCCCACAGTCCCAGTTGGAAACCACATGTTGAGGTGATTTCATTTAGACTTGCAGGGGAGTAGGCAGAGGGTGTCTTTGGAAACACAGAGCTTGTGTCCTGCAGGCACAGAGCTGTTGAAGGTTTTTAAACTGGAGGGATGTGCCCAGAGCAGCATCTGTGAAGACAGATCTGTGTCCAGAAGGGAAGACTGGAGGTGGGATGGCCCTAGAGGAAGATGATGAGCACATCCAGGCCCAAGACTGGGGGCGTGGCAGTGAGGATGGGGGCGGTGACAGTTAGGAGCAGATGTCTTGAAGAAAAGATGGTCAGAACACATTGACTGTTCTGAAGTAGAATGACAGGTTTTTTGTAATTTAGCTAATCTTTTCACTCACGGTTGGAATGAATCGTTTCCCTAGTATAACAGACAGGCCTTTGGGCCTCTACTTCACTACTCCCTGTGATGGAGAGCTCACCCTTTTGGAGGCCTTACTGTATTTTTAGGTAACTCCAGGTTGCAATTACCTGCCCCTCTCTTGGGTCCAGGGTGCTCTCAGTAGTAGTGGAAGCATTCATTTATTTTTTCCACAAATACTTTGCAGGCATCTGTCAGGATACAGGTCCTATGCTCATCAAATAAGGCAGGCCCTGCCCTCTAGCAGCTTTCACGCTGGCTTCCACGTATTGGGAATTGGTCATTTTCATTTTCCTCCGCCAAATGAAATATCCCTTATTCTTACTATGTGAATAGAGAAATCTATTGAAGGCCTCGTCCCTGGCCTGCGTTGTTAGGTCTGTAGATGCCCCTCACCACCTCTGAGGAGAGGGTCACCCCTGTCAAACGCTGCTCAGGTAGGTATCAGGGTGGGACCTGGGCATTTGTGACTGGATCTCTCAGCAGGCTTGTTTGAGCGTAGTTAGCATCTCTTTATGGTATCTGGACTTACTACTAATTATTAGAATTGTCAGTGGTAGCCTATACCCAACACGTCATCTCCTTCTTGTCTGGACACACCTCTCAGAAGTGATGCTGTTAAAAGCCTTCACTTGACAGAAAAATAAAGGGCTCTGTCTAGGAGCACGTAGCCTCCTTGTGGCCATGTTGAGGCCAGAACACAGGCTTTCAGTATTTTTCATTGTGACCACCTTTTAATATTCTCAACACCATTCCTTTGGAGGTATTTTCTGACTTCCTCTTAGAATTATTTCTTCCAGCTAGTCCGGACTCCCTTAGCCTCTCATGTAAATTGTTCCCCTAATCCCATTCACCTGCTTTCCTCTAGCAGGGACACTGGCTGAAATCAAATTGGAGTCCATCTTGGTAGGAGAGCGAATGGCTGATATTCTTCCAAATTTCTGCCTGCTTTGCACACGGACTCTGTGGGTCTCCATATGAACTAATAGAGTATCCCTGGGAAGAAATGAAGAAAAAAATTCAAGCCTTGAGTTGTAATATTGAATGGTTCCATGGGCAAAATATTGAACAGCATAGGAAGCGTCAAGGAAGGATGGAAGAAATACACAGTCGCTGTACCCCAAAGAAGTGGTTGACATTCAGCCATTTCAGAAAGTAACATACAATCAAGAACCTATGGTATTAAAGGAAGCAGTCAAGCTGCCTAGAAGGCATTGGTGGAAAACAAGCCTCCAGGAATTGATAGAATACCAACTGAGATGTTTCAACAAAGGGATGCAACACTGGAAGTGCTCACTTGTCTGTGCCAAGACGTTTGGAAGAGGCTACTTGGACAGCTGACTGGAAGAGACTGCTATTTACGCCTATTCCAAAGAGAAGTGATCAAAGGGAATGTAGAAATAAACAACTTCATTGCTATTGCATGCAAGTAAAGCTTTACTGAAGGTAATTCAGAAATGGCTGGAGTAGTATATTGATTGGGTACTGCCAGAAATTCAAGCCAGAATCAGAAGAGGACATGGAATAAGGGATACCATTGCTGATGTCAGCTTCATCTTGGCTGAAAGCAGAGAATACAAGAAAGATGTTTACCTATGTTTTATTGACCCTGCAAAGGCATTTGACTGTGTGGGTCATAACAAATTATGACTAATGTTGCAGAGAATGGGCATTCCAGAACATTTAATTGTGCTTGCAGAACCTATACACAGATCAGGAGGCATTTGTTGGAACTGAACAAGGGGATGCTGTGTGGTTTAAAATCAGGAAGGGTATGTGTCTGAGTTGTATCATTGCACTATACTTAGACTGTATGCTGAACAAATAATCTGAGAAACTGGACTATATGAAGAAGAATGTGGCTTCAGGATTGGAGGAAGATTCATTAACAACTTGCAATATGCAGGTGATACAACCTTGCTTGCTGAAAGCAAAGAGGTCTTTAAGCACTTACTGATGGAGAACGAAGACTTCTGCCTCAGTATGGATTTACACCTCAACACAAAACAAAATTCCTTCCTACTATACCAGTAAGCAACATCATGATAAATGGAGAAAAGATTGAATTTGTCAAGGATTTCATTTTGCTTGGATCCATTATCAATGCCTATGGAAATAAACCAAACTCACTGCTGTGAGTTGATTCTGACTCATAATGACACCCATTGGGTTTCTAGGGCTGTAAAACTTTACGGAAGTAGATTGCCTCATCTTCTTCTCATGGAGCAGCTGGTGGGTTTGAACCACCGACCTTCTGGTTAGTAGCCAAAGGCCTTATCCACTATGCCACCAGAGCTCATTAATGCCAACGGAAGCAGCAGTCAAATCAAAGAACGTATTACATAGGGCACATGTGCTGCAAAAGGCACATAACTGCAAAACTATTAAAAAGCAAGGATGTCACT